CCGGTTTCGGACCGATTCTAAACCAATTCTAAATCAATTCTGAACCAATTCTAAACCAATTCCAGAGTAATTCCAATTCCAACCAATTCCTAACAATGCTAACCCAATTCCGACCAATTCCAATTCCAATTCCAATTCTGACCACTTCCAACCAATTCCAATTCCAATTCCAATTCCAACCAATGCCGACCAATTCGAATTCTTGACTTGGAATTGAATTGGTTGTAATTGTAATTGGTGCATCCCTACTACAACAATTGTGTTTTGCATGGTTACCAATTCCATTATTAGCATTGTTGTGCCATTTTGCGTCAAGAGGGTGAGCTGAATTTGTCAACATACATCTATTTATACCACAGTTTAGCATTTTTTGCAAAACGAAATCTTTGTAACATTGATACCAAAGCAATACGGCATTCTCCCATGTTTCGCATTCGTACGACAAAATTGGCACTCATAATATATTATACGTAGGATATCTTTGGTCAGGATTCGCGTATTTTCCAATACGATCCGCCAAACCATCAGACCAAATTGAACAAACATCGGACCAAGATAGATCTCGACGAGCTCTATCGAATGCACTATTTATTTTTTCCTAAGGCCTACCCATCGTGGAGAAAAACCCAAAATACTGCCAAAACTACCACAAAAAAGCCTAGTTGTTCAGAAGAACTTCTCGCGATTCGCCAATTCATCAGGCCAACCTCTCAAAACATCATCCTAGATAGAGTTTGACTTGCTTTATCGAATGGACTAGTTTTCAATTCGTTTCCATGCTTCTGTTGCGTGGGAATTTGCTGAACAATGCTGGAAACCTCAGGTTTCTTCGAAGAACCCGTCGCGATTCACTTGAATCACTTTTTCAACGCTCCCATACAACTTCTCAACAAGTAGTTGGTGAGATCAACCGGAGGGACCTCTGTCGGGGTCAATTTCACGGTCAGATCCCCTCTGAAAGGGCAAATCCAGGCCGGAATCCGAGATTTCTATTTTGGTGAAATTTGGATGCTTGCAAGAATCAGAGTAATTGTTATATAACATTTTACTTATACAACAATTTTTGAGGGATTTTTATTTCTTTTACGGATTTTCTAAATATTTGCGTTAGTTTGACCCATTTCAAATGTTAACAGGTTAGCGACATCATTCTATTTTCGTTTTATTAATTCTAAAGAGCGATGGGTATATCGGGAGGAAAGGAAAGAAAAACTATTGGTGAATAAGTTCCTATCGAGAGAGAGAGGAAAGAAAGAAAAAAGATTTTTATTCTGATACTCCTCCTCGTTTTATCGATCGATGTTGTTATGAACAGGAGAGAAAAACATTTTCATTAGTTCATCCGTTCGGACCAATTGGATAAATGGAACGAAAGAGTCAGCGTCATCGTGAATATATCTGTGAGCAGGAAAAAAAACATTTTATTGGCTCAACTGAATTGAGCAATCCATGATTGAACCGAGTTTACGTTTAAAGATTTAATTTACGCTTGGGTATTTTACAAAAAAAAGATTGATTTAAATTTATTACGTGAATAAATAATGTTGATCGTGTAGTAGCTGAAAAAATGCTCAAAAAAGAAGAATCGAGAATAGAATGGATTAGGAAAAGTACTAAAAAATTGATTAGCTATTTTGTTGAATTCAATCTATATTGATTGCGCGTATTTGCAACTTTGGCGTAGCTGCATATCTCAATAATTTGTCTGAAATCTTTTTATCGTGATTCTTATCGGAAATCGATCGGAACAATCATACACTGAAACGAAATTTCAGTGGACACCTCTGTTGATCTTAAGAAATTTTTTTACAAAAAGATATGCATTGTGATCATAACTGTTAATTAGTTGCTGTGGCATAGCCAGGGGGGGGGTATTGGGTAATTGCCCAATGCAAAAAAATTTTGATACACATAATTATATGTTACGAAATACATCGTGTTATTGTAAAACACTGTATCTCATTGTGATCTAGTTAATACTGATGAGTTTTTCTACAGTATGCATCTGTTTCGCAATGACAATGCATATCGCAAAAAATTGTAGCCCAATTGATTTTTAATTGGCCATTGGTGCCTACTACGCATAATAATTTATCTGGGGAACGCCCATAACTCGAAAATTTCCGGCTACGTCACTAATTATTTCCAAAGGCTATCCTGTTACTGTTGATCAAATCAGAATAACTGAAAATTGTGTTCTTCAATTTTCTTGTGCGTCCACATTCGTATATAAACAACAGTAACCAGAGGTACCATTAGGAATAAAAATACAATAGCCTTTTCTAAAAGGAAATTAGATCATTGAAAATCTTTTTTTAGAATTAAAATACTATTTATCAATTACTCTGATTCTTCAAAACATCAAAACTTCAACCAAATATAAATCTTGGATTAAGGCGTGGATTTGTCCGTTCGGCAAAATCTCACCGTGAAATTCACCCTGGCAAATGTGCTTTCAGTTGATCCTCGCCTAATCCTTCTTGAGGAGTTGTATGGGAGAGTTGAAAAGTGATTAGAGCCATTGCCACAGGTTCTTCGGAGAAACCTGAGGTTTTCTGTATTGTGTAGCCAGATTCCAGGTAACAGAACCATCACAAAGAACTGAAAACTGATCCATTCCATAGAGCAAGTCGTGCTCTATCTAGGATGAGGTTTTGAGAGGTTGGTCTGATGAATTGGTGAATCGCGACGGGTTCTTCGGTGAAACCTGAGGTTTCCAGTATTGTTTAGCAAACTTTCAGGCAACGGAATCATGGAAACGAATTGAAAACTAGTCCATTCGATAGAGCAAGTCAAGCTCTATCTAGGAAAATGTTTTGACAGGTTGGTCTGATGAATTGACGAATCGCGACAAGTTCTTCTGAAAAACTACACTGTAAAGAAAAACGTAGAATAATAAACGAAAAAAGGGTTTATGAAAGTACAACGTGTAGCAAACCCTTTTCAACAGCTTATCAAGGAGTCATAAACCCTGTTATAAACCCTCTAAAAAGGGTTAATACGGAGTATATTATCGTTAAATATGCTTTCTGGAAGGTTTATTGCAAGGTTGATTAGATTCATAAATGCTTAAAGGGATTGCGACACGTTGCACTTTCATAAACCCCTGAAAGGGTTGATAATTCACATAAACGTTCTCATATAGCCTTCGAAACTCGGCCTAAAAACAGTTGATTAAAATACTATACCCATGAGCCCCTCTCAGAAACGCTATTGAAAAGCGTTTATGGACATCATGAATGGTCGCCAGCGTTTGTGAGAGGGTATTTGGAACCGATTATGGACCTCATAAACTGCCTGAAGGGTTTATGATAAGGTTTATGAAGGCGATTATGGACCCCATAAACTACCTCAAGGGTTTATGATAAGGTTTTATGAAGGTGATTATGGACCCCATAAACTGCCTCAAGGGTTTATGATAAGGTTTTATGAAGGCGATTGTGGACCTCCAGTATCGTTTTCAGTGAGAATATTAGGATAAATAGAGTGATTCAATAGTACAATGAACTACTTCCAGGGGTCGGAGAATAACTGAATACTTTGTTTTTCACCTTGATTGATGATAGATCAATGTCTACGAAGAGAGATATGCTGAATAATTTGTAGTTCTAATATTAATATGTATCTAACACTCGCTATCTATGGCATTTTATAATAATTAACAAGAGCATGGTAGACTCCCCGAGACTGGAAGAAACCATATCCGTTATTTTCTCTACGTTTTGAGCGTCATATTTCTCGAAACTCTTGCTCGATCTTGTCTTAGAATCCAATACTCACTCAGTGAGAAACGAGCGAAACTAGAAAACCTGAAGCAATTCGATCGAGAATCAAAATCTAGCATGACCACGGGAGATAAAAATCAAGATGATTAAAAGGAATCGTAGGGATATATTTCTAGTAGCGACTAATCAATACAAACAGGATA